CCTTTGCTAAAATACGAGCATGCCGTTTTGAAGTTTTATAAAATGAAAACAGCAGCAAACCTGCACTTTCAATTAAGCCATAGTCTAATTCTCATTAGCGTGTGACGTCACAGTTCAAAGGGAAGCGTGTGAATGGTGTTGCCATTAAACAAATTGATTATTACATAGTGTTGCCCTATTGATGGGCGATAATTAAATGGGTAATGGATCGATTCCATTCATAATCGACTATTTAGTAAATGTAGATTCATGTTTAAATACCAATGGATTTTGATTTGCTTTTCTAGTGTGGTTGTAGGCAATTTGTTTGATTGATTTGGAATAAAAAAATACTGATATAATATGATGTCTAACAAATACTTTGAAACTTTTTTCCTATAAGTGAATTTATCACAATCAGAGAAAACCTAAATTATGTTTTATATCAGCATAGTATATTATATTATTCATCATAATTATCTCGCAACGATTCCTACAATCTATATATATTAAAATGAAACCAGTTTCCCATAACTTGAGAACGGCTAGACCGATTTTTTTTTGTATTTGTTATTGTTAGGAGAAGGTACTTATGACAGAATAAAACCGTGAAAATCCTACGGGAACATGAGAAAACGGGATTGCGCGTACGAAGTCGCGATCAGAAGCTAGTTAGTATATAGAAACAAATAAACTCTCCAGTTTTATTACACCACATTCAATAGAACGATACTAGTCAATGCTAACTCGTATGTATATATATGAATGAACATAAACAAAGTTAGTATGTACATTATAATTGTCTTGGACGGCCGGATTATGCTCTGACATTCGCCCCTTGCCCCTTGAGCCTGCCCATATAGGTCGGACGTGTAATCTTAATCATTTCTATCCTACATATATACATAGTATGTCATTGTTATATTAGTTGGTTTTTGTAAAGAGGTGTGGGCGATTAGAGGTCGAAAGTATAAGGAGTTTCAAGTTAAAATGGCTTCATTTAGACTAGGTTGTGTTCTATTTTTTTAATTGCTATTTTCAACAACAAACAAGCACGTAGTTATGATTGTTGGGTTTTGTTAAATGTCATGAGAGACGTTGTAAGTATTGACTTCGAATATTGTATTATTAATGTTTACTGTAAAGTTTTATATTATTATTTTATTCTCTACTAAATTCTCATTATATACATACATATATCGGAGTCACGAAGAACCTAACGGGTTACCGGGGCTCCGACTCGACGTGCAGGAGAAGAAACGGGGTGGTTTTTAGTCAGTAAGAGTCTGACACTCCATCCCTCTGACAGTCATTCGATGACTATACCCATATAAACAAAAATACATACATACATTCATATACAAATATGACACTAAAATATTACCAAAATCTCACGAATCGACCACAAAAATCGGGAAAAATATATGTATATGTAATATAAATGTTCATAGATATAATTCGGCGTATGATCGGCCACATAAAATATACCGAACTAATATTCGTGTGCGGGCCGCTCACGTACCGTCAGCCAATCACGTGCCGCCAACAAAACACGCTTATCTAATATGCATTTTATTGTCGACTGTACACGGCGCGCGACGAAAACTGAAGCGCCAAGCTATGAAATTTTCTTCGTACTGTTAGCATAAGAGAATTGGGCTTGATTATGTATGAAATGATATTTTAGAGAGTTTATATTTGTGGTTTTGGCGTATTGAATGTATTGTTTGTATTTGTATATTGAGGTATATAACCGTATCCTAAAATAATCTTGATAAATGTAAACATTATCAACGTACATATTTGTGGCAGATTTCTGAATAACATGGTTCATGTTACCACATATTTCACGTAGCCAACATTTAAAATATAAAACTGATATGTAAAGTACACAAAAACATTTTACTTTAAACATAAAATGTTTCAAACGTAAATAACGTTAACCGAAAATAAAAGCTTTGTATGCAAACTGTACACAACAAGTGGCGTAGCGGGCGTAGCGGCGTAGACCACAAGTCGCGTAGCCGCGTAGAGGCCTACGAGCGTGCAACTTTGATGAGTCTCGTAGAAGCCACATGCCACCCAGGCCGGGCTTATTTGTTCTTTCAACTTAGTCGCTTCGTACTTCCACAGTTTCGCTCTTGTGTCAAGAATATTGTGACAAAGACGGTCAGATGTGATACGTATGGAGACGAGAGGTCGTTATACGAATATGGAGCCTTTGTCTGTCAGATAGGTTTAGGCAGCGAAAGTTTAGTCTGAACTGGGCCATGGACAGCTGTAGTTTGTAGTTTAGATTAGTGGAGTTAGTTACGGTAACTGTAATTAACTTGTACTCAAATTTTCAAGATAATTTTGGATGATATGATGCCTAAAAATTGTTCAACCTTTTTCGTTATTAGCTAATTTCTAAGAAAAGGTATGATGAAAATTGAAAGCTTTTATCTACATTTTTTCAATTGAAATCTGTGATCTTGATACAAGTTAATTTTCCCTTTACAATTTCTTAAAGAAAACCTTTTAATAAACATAAAATATTTTCAGTGAATACTTGATACTCTCAAAAGAGGTTTCCTAAAACGAAGGTATTACTAGAAATTTTACTTACCTGTTGTATAAATTAGGAAAGGAGCTGAAATTCAGAACTTTATCACATCATAATGAAATTTCAGGAGTTTCTAACTTGTAAGCAGATTACCAATGTAAAAAATATAGAAGGGCAAGTTTTAATACTGTAGTGGGTGAAACAGGAAGTAGATTTGCTTTTTGAAGTAATAAGTCGTTTATAAATTGATACAACTCCCTCGTTGGCCGAGTGGTCGCAAGTTACGGGTTCGATTCAGGGATAGCGCAAAGTAACAACGGGTTTTTAAAAAAAATCTCACTAGTCGCACGGAGTCTGAAATTGTGCACAGTATATGGCAATAGGCTCACCCAGTTTTACATGGGACTCATAACATAAATAGTGAAAAGTAGGTGTTACATTGTACAGTGGCATTAAGTGCCGTAATGTGCACCTCTGCCACCCCGTCAGGGATAAAACGTTTAGGTTTATCAAAAAGCACTGTTGCCAGGTTTATGTTTGTGTAGTTTCTTAGCCAGCTCTTACGCGGAACAGTCCTTCTGAGTAATGACAAATGTGTTTACTCCGTCGTGATCATACGACTTCAATACTACACAATACATTTATTTGTTTTATCTAATACTTCTGTAGACTAATATTTATTTTATTAACGGAATGTAGTAATTAAGGAGTTAAGTAGAAATCTGACACGAGCATATTAAATATCTCGCCTTCATTGTAAAAGCCTTTGAAAATAATTTCTGTATTCTTTGAACTTGGAATCAAAGCGCCCAAAGAAGAATTTACGTCTATATTCTGTGTGTACATAAATATAATTCCACGTGTATATCTGGGATAAAATTACGTTGCTAAGTCGTGAATTTATTTAAAAGACTTTCAACCTAATCCTTTTGTGATAAAGTTTTTTTTATGACATAAGCCGGTAAACGAGCAGACGGATCACCTGATGGTACGCAATCGGCGTCGCCCATGGACATGTTTCGGGAAACACCAGAGTCGTTACAAGTGTGTTACCAGCCTTTTGGGGATTAGGAGTTTGAGGATCGTTGGGGATTCAGGGATTTGGGAGATTGGAGAAGGGGAGGGTAATTGGGCCTCCGGTAACCTCACTCACACGACGAAACACAACGCAAGCGTTGCTTCACGTCGGTTTTCTGTGAGGCCGTGGTATCACTCCGGTCGAGCCGGCCCATTCGTGCCGAAGCATGGCTCTCCCACACAGTTACAAATTAGGTACACATAGAGCACACATACACACTAACACAAAAGTTACAAATCTTGACATTTCTGTGTTTAGTTATAGTTAATTAAACTGTCAAATACCAAGCGGTCACCGGTGACCGCAACCTATTGTTCTATAATTGTGTCTGCAAAACCGGTACTCGACGAGTTAATTATAGTTAACCAAGGCTGTTGAAACCGTTTTGTACCTAACTTGTAGTGCAGGAGATATTTGCCAATTATCTCTCAAACTTCCCGGCTCATCTACCTCTATAGGTTCGTGTTTTTAGGGCGAATCTGAAAATACAATATATTTCTATTTGGCACTTAAATTCTCAAAAACTTACTACACTCAACTAAGAGTAAAAAAGAGTATATTAACACTACATAGTTTGTTCAGATTCTCCGATACTATAGATTTATAGCACACAACAGTTCAAGTAGTTTCGGAAGGTGCAATTAGGGAAACGTTTAACGTTACAGCCCTATAAATAGGGATGTCGCGAAGTGCTAGAACTTGGACTATGTAGGTTAGGTCGTATACTTTATTTTATTACTTGCCTCATAAATATAAAATGCTAAACTAACCACTGCTATTTATAGCTGCTACAGTCAGCGACTAACTTTACTGATCGAGATTTTGGTTATAAAACAATTTTGTGGTAAGATTTTGTGCTTAATCGTAAATGGAGGTTCTTTATAAATAATTGTGTGTAAAATACTAGTTCACTAGAATTAGCTAGACGATTATGACTGAGGATACCTTAGAAAAGTGTATTTTCGTACTATATTTGCATTGGAAAAAAGCTGTGGTTATTGGACTTGTTTATTACTTTGTTACTTAAATACGGTAGTTGACTACTAGCCAAATTCTATAATTTTATCGAAACGTCTAAAACGATACTGTTCTATGAATTTTGTACGAAATACCATCTTATGACGTCATCATAATTATTTTCGTGACAAATAGCACACTTATATCTAAAAACAATGCTCGAATAAATAAGAAATTAAGTATATCGGCAAATCAATGAATGAAACTATTTTTCAATATTTAATTGGAATGAAAAATCAAATTGACCCAGGAAACTACCCAATTGCAATTGATCGGTTTATTCTGGCTTATAGTCAATAGGCTGATACGAAAAAAAAATGAGTCGTCTGATTGTCCTAAACCTTGGGCGTTTGTACTTATCTACATTTCTTTTTGTTCCAGCTATAGCCGCGGTAATCGCGGTGTGTCAGTGCGTACGATTCCGCAAGATGCGCGCGCGTAGCGGGTAACCAATCAGCGTGGCGGGGTACGGGCGGTACGCGGGCGGCGCTGGCGCCTACCATGCGCGAGCGCCCACCGTGCCGCTCAATGCCAGTAAGTATACACCTTTATTTTATGTAGACATACATTTTATAATAAGCTTTAAGTTATTGTTATTTAATTCGTGTTAATTCCTCTGCGATTGTCTTGTGAATTAGCTACTCTTAATTTATGTTATTATATTTCTTATTCAAGAAGATATTAAGATGTATATGTATATAAACTATGATACTATCTTCTTAATAATGATATAATGTTAGGACGGTAAAGTTTCGTGATAAATTTATTTATATGAACAGTGCATCATTACAAGGAACATTATCTTTTCAAAAATCTATAACCTTTAACAAACCTTTTAGTTTTCCAATAGCAGTCTCGTATAAAAAAGAAAAAAACAATCTTGGAAAATAATCTTCGTGCACAAAGCCAGCTGATTGTACTCCCAACGTAGGTACACACTTCCATTGGTGAAGCTACCATCAAAACATGAAACTATAACTGGCACACTGTATTTTACCTCCATTCATATCAATATGGAAATTTTATTTCACGAATTCAAAAGTCAGGAGTTGCAACAAATAGAATGCGAATCAAAAAAGTGCTGTAAGGTTGTGGTCATAGAAGAGCGGTGGATGTAGCGACGCGATTCAATGGGAATATTGAATAATTATTTTGTTACTTGGAGAGTTACAGACATCTTGTTACTTGATGTCAAATTGGAAAAGATTTCTGTGTACACTCTTGGCCATGTCTGTCTTGGCCCTCTTTGTGTACATCTACATACGTCTGAAACCGGCAGAATTCTGAATGTACCACTAAAGAGACAGGTAATAAATGAAGAATAAAAAGTCTGGCCATTCAGCAACGTCTTCAAAATTGACAATCTATGTAAATACTAGAATACTAAGTATTTGAATTTTTATGACGATTGCTACCTTCATGGAAGACCTAGGTTAAGCAAAAATACTTTTATAAACTACGTTTAAAATCCAACTTTGACCCCTTCTTTATCAGGGTCGGTTTATTAAGTAACAAGTCGGTTCTAAGTCTTACAATCAGTTTTCTAAAGATCACATAAAATCGGTTAGGCCGATCGTAAGGTAATTACGCACAAAGTACAGGTCAGACTGAGACCCTCCTTCTTTTTTTGAAGTCGGTTAAAATGATGACTACAGACTAAAATTGTAACATATTTTCAATAAGGTAGTTACACTTACATGTTAGTTTAAAATTAAGTGCCAATTTTGCGTCAGTCCATCCATTCCCGAACACTGCTAAAGTTACGATGCTAATTCACTGAACATACGCATACAATTAGTAAAATTTATGCAGATTGAAAACCAGTACAGAAATTCTATACGAATTGATAGGATTAATGACATTTTTTTTGTAAATACCATACCATACCATAGTGGTCGGTTGAATAAAATACGATATAAAATGTAAGTATGTTACAATAATAAGCAAATTGTACGGTTTATATATTTAACGATGAGGTTACTCAACTGATTTCAAGCCACATCGGGGCTCATAATTAAATCTGACGTAACAAGTGTTGCCCAGTCAGTTGAAGGCAATTCTTTGAAATACTTATATCAAAATAGCAGCAATTAAGGACTATAATTTATATAAAAAAATATTTGTAAAACAGAAAGTAATTGAGTCTAACAAATTAATTTGTTTGGGCTTAATAAATCATTTTATTTAAAAATCAATAATCGCTCCGCTACCGCCTCTTTTAAAGTCGTAACTCCAACAGTTAGCGTATGTCACGATATTTTGTGGCATACGTTGTCACGGCATGTCAGCTCGAATAGATCGTGACCCGGTTCCAAGCATGACAGACCTTCGCGTAATAATTACGCCTGTAACGATTGGGTGGTGTTAATTAGGGCGATTATTTTAACTTGTACTTTGTCAACAGGGAGCTAATGTAGGTGTTCGTTTGACCAGGTTATTCTGAAGTGGGGTTTTTTGAGGGTAAATTATTTATAGGTGGTATGGGGTTGTTGATGTCCTAGGTTCAGATAATGATAATGATGAGGTTGATGATAAAACACGTTTTAGAGATGTGTACATATTATGTGTCCTGACCACTGAGTATGTTAGTGTAGAGCAGGGTTTCCCAAACTGTGGGTCGTCAACCCATTGGTGGGTTGCAAACGAATTTAAGTGAGCCTTGTTTGTAAAATAACGAATTAATTGACCGTTCTGTGTTTTATTTTACATATTGGTAATGGTTAAATTTCCTAAAACTGGGTCCTGGGTTTAGGAACTTAATTTAAATAGGTCGTAGTCCAGACAACTTTAAGAACCACTGGTGTACAATATTTTCATATAAGGCTGCGAAACGTGAACTTGTTTTTTTTTTGGTTCTACAGAACCAATTATAGTATATAAGAATCTTTATTAAAAAACTAACATGTTTTCTTGAATGGCAAAAAATACCTAGTTTATATTGAGTTAAGAATCTTGTGTTTACATAATATCAGCAATGCACTTTGTGGTGATTTTTAAAATCTCAAAAGATCGCTTCACAATAACTTACGAACATAGAGAAATTATGCCCAAACACATCCAATTATAGATACAAATTGTAATTACAAAATCGCAACACAAAACCTCTAAACCTAATTACCATTTATCAATTCCAATTGTGGAGCGCATCGTATCGCACGTTTCACAATGCATTGCGTATTATGTACCATAGAAGGTCGCTCATTGTCGTATTGTGTGCGCAATGTATGGTATTCAGTGAGGACTTTGCGGCATTTCAAATTATCGGCTTGATGTATGGTTGGTTGTGTGGGACCTATTCATTCAGATATTATGAATGTTTGTGTGTTTGTTTGAATTAGTGTGTTTGTGATATTGGGAGATTCTCTTCTACTAGTATTTGTGTCTTTTAATTAACGAAAGGTTACGGGTCACGCCTTACAAGGTAGAAATGTTTGCATTAAATCGTCTTTGTATTTGTTTTGGAAAATAGAAGTAGAAAGTACTGTAGTAAGG